AATAATCAAAAATATCTGTAAATTAATAATATTATTTAAATAAAGATGATATTTTATTAATTATAATAAATAATAATAAGCATTATAATATTGTAACTAATTATGATATATTAAAAATTAAGTTATAATAAGTAATAAATAAGTATTATTATATTGTAATACTATCTTTATATTTGAAATTATTTTTTAATTTGTTTAAAACTAAAATTTTGAATCCTAAAATTTCTAAAATTTAACTATCTAATAAATATATATAAATTTTGCAATATAAAATAATTTAAATTAATAAATTTATATTAATAATTCTTTTTATGAATAAATTAAATAATATTTTTTTTCATATTAATAAGATTAACATTTATTGAAATATATTAAATTATGATATTTTTATAAATTAATTTAAATAATTTTTTATGATGATTAGATTTTGATAATTTTATAATTTTTATATTTATTTTAATTAAATAAATTAAATAATATATGTAAAATTAATATCAATATAATAATTTTAATATTTTTTTATTAAATTATAAAATATATTTTTAATTACTTAAAAGATTTAAATTTAGTACCTAATATTTAAATTTTAATATTTTAAGTATTTTATATATTTAAGTTTTTAGATAATCTTATTAGAAAAAAATTAAAGTAAAAAATTTTTTTATATTTATATAATTTAGATAGATATAATAAATATATTTTATATTTAATATAATTAATTTATTTAATATATTATTTATTTTAATTATATCAAAAAGTAGATTTTTCAGATATATCAGGTTTACAGATTTTTTACATTATATATATAATATTATATTGATTTATTTATAGATAATATTTTTTAAAAGTATTTTTATTACTTTAAACTAGTTTAATAAAGTTTAGATTTTGAATTTAATTAAGTTTTACCAATGTTATTATTCCTTAAATTATATAAAGTTATTTATAAAATATTTTAGAAACTTAAAATATTTTAATATCTAATAATAAAATAAAGTTTATTAGATTTATCATATTAAAATACATTTAATAATAATATTTTTTAAATTTTTAAAATTAATAATTATTAATATATATTAATTTTTCAATTTTTAAAAATTACATATTATATAATAATTATTTAAAAATAAAATTCAGTTTATTGAATTTATCTTATTAGAATTTGTTAAAAAATAGTATTTTATTTTTTTAAGATTAATATATAGCAAGATATATGAATTTAAAATTTTAATTTTTTTTTAATAATACTTTATTATTTATTTATCTTTAAAAAATCACTAGTTAATTATATTTCTTTTTTAATATTTACTTAAAAACTTATTATTAAATATTAATTTTTAATAAAATATTTAAAAATAATAAAAAATGATTTTAATTTATAAATAAAATAGCCTATAAATTTGTAGATAAAACAATTAAAGAAATAAGTTTTATTATATAATTTTAACTTTTTTAAAAATAAATTGATCAAGTTTTAATATTTTAAATAGTAAAAAAATTATTATATATTAATATTTTTTTATTTATGTATAAAATATTATATAAGTTAATTTTAATTAACTTAATTTTTTTTATTTAATTTAACTTAAATTATATTATATTTTCTAAATAATTAAATTTAATCATAATTTATAATTAATAATAATGTAAAATTTTACACAATTTTTAATTAAATATATTATAAATATATTATTTTAAATAAAACTTTTTTTTTTTAAATTAATATTAATTATATACAAAAATTTTTAACTTTGATTTTAAATTAATTATAAAAGTTACAAATTAATATATTTAAATTATTATAAATTTTATTAAATAAATTAATAAAAATTAAATATTATAAAATAAAAATTATTTATAAAGTAATATAAATTAAAATAAATAATTAAATAAATATAAAATTATTTATATATATTAATACTTTTTATTAAATTATAAATTATTTTTTAATAAATTATTTTTGATATATTTAAAATTAATTTTAATTAATAAGTAAAATTACAGATAAGTTTAAAAAAAAATTATATAAATTATATGATTTAAATTTAATTTTAATAGCATATCTATTTTAAAGAAATATTTTTAAAGTATTTTTAATAAGAAATAGTTTGAAATAATTTTTTTAATAGATATTTTTAAAAATTTTTCTTATAAAAGAAATATTTTATAAAAAAAATGTATATTAAATGTAAAAAATATTTATTTCCTTTATTATAAAAAAGTATTTTCTATTATAACAAGATTTTAATGATATGAATATCGGCAACTGATCTACATTTATATAAATGTGTTAAAATATAATCACGTTACGGATCGATTTAATATGTTTGTATTTGCCATGATCGACATGCCCCTCTCCTGTATAATACAACTTGTAAATACCCGGGTATTATACTAAGAATTATATATTTTATAAGTAACTAAAATCCAATTTTTATAACATCATTATTAATGAAGTGTATTTTTTTTTGTTTAAAAAAAAAGCCACGATTACAAATTTGTAAATACCCTGGGTATAATAGTCAGAAATTGTATTTTAGAAAGTAACAAAACATTTTAATAAATTTATATCTTTGGATGCAGAAATAATATCAAAATTAAAGACACACTTTCCATAAGATCGTACTTATTTGTGAAAAGGAATCAAATAAAATAAGTTGGATAATCTATTTACTTTTCTTTATTAAATTTATTTTGACCGTTTCCTAAGAAAGCTTCTCGATAGTAATCAAAAAGAATATAGCATATTTGTGCATATGCAGCTAACAGATTTTTATTTTTTAATTTATAAATGAAATATTTAAATAATGGTACTTAATACTAGCCGGTAATCGTTTTCAAAATTTTTAATTTTTGAAAATCAAAGCAATTTATTATGCAACTACACATTTAAATTCGATAAATTCTATAATATTATCGTGCTCAGGTCAAAGTCGTGTCTATGTTGATACGACATCAGAATTTTTTGAAGCTTTTGTATTTACACACAACTTTGCATTAATTTTCTGATCATATAAGCACAGTTTATTGATAAAGGTTACATAGAAACGTTTCTCGAAAATTCGAACAAAATAAAATATCAATTTATAAGTATGTTTGTTTTTTAAAAGTTAATATAAATTTACTGAGAAATCTTAACTTATGTTTTTAAACTATTGCAATTTTGGAAGGTGCAGTTTGTTTATCCATCGTAAAATAAATCTCGTTTGACAAATTTCTGGTGGAAATAATTAAATTAAACTTCTTTTTTGAAATATGGAAATTTTCATGAACCTTTCAAAACTATATAAATGACGGATAATTATTATTTAATTCTTAAATTCTTATTATTCGAGTGCTAACTGAAGTTGGGGTTATTCAATTTCAATATTGGTTTATATTTTGTTGAGATTTCGAGTCTTTTATTTTTCAGACCAAACATATGTTAAATGTCGAATGAAAAATAGTCACAAAATGAATAATTTAAAAAGTAAATACCATGAAAAAGTATTATCAATGAAAAAAACGACAAAATAAATATACTAAAAGAGAGAGTTCACTAAGAAGAATCATAACTATTGCAAATCCGATAATTTGGGCCGTGTAATACTTTTTTTATTAATGGTAAATTATAATTGACTATTTAATATCAAATGACATTTTAAATATTACCGGGCTTAATTATGCAGGAACTTTTGATAGGCAGCAGGTCTTTTTTGGAATTTGAGTTCATGATATAGATCTTATTATTGACAATTGTAATGGTGTTACAAATGCACCTCAACTGCTTCTGAATTAAAATTAAGAAATGAGATATTTTATCATAAGAATGCGTTAAAACTAGCCCAACAATACCTATAAATTCTGGTAATGGTTCTGTATCAGCAAAACGATCCAATACCATCTATGAAAGGAGACCTTTAAGTGCAATTATCAAGTCCACAAGGAGTTTAAAAAGTCAAAGCTTAGCTTTAAAGTTTGGTAATTTGCTTTGATACTTTACTTATTTTTTTAAAAGAAAACTAGTAAATAATTTACTAATAAAATTTACTTTGTATACTATGTATAATATTTTACGTTTCCAAAGTACTAGAGGTTGACATCTATTTTTTTTTGAACGTAAATTGATAATATCTTATATGATAATATAACAGTCTTCTTTTGATTGAGAATGATTTGACATTTCCTTACCTTTTAATATTTATTGAATTTCATTTATTATTTAAACTCAAACAAATAGAATTTATAGTTTCCAGGTTCCTTTCTATTTCATATCTTATAAAACCATAACAAATTAGCAATTTCTTTGAGAATTATTTTAATATAATAAACTTGGATAAGATCCATTTTTCAACGGGGATGGAACACTTTGTTATCCAAATTTAGTTAATCTAGAAATTATCATTATTATTTTTAGTTAGAAAGCGCCGACGATTCCTTATTTATATTAGTTTTTCGCTATTATTAATAACCAATAAACATGCATGAAATGATCTTATCCTGTTCCCCCTATTTGATGGGCTCATACAAATCTGTGTAACTTTGTCTTAGAAAATATTTTCATTTCGCGGAAAAAGAATGAGCGAAAAAAAATACTATTAAAGAGCAAAAAAGAAAAAAGTAAAAAACGTATAATAATAAAGAAAAAATTTTCTCAAAATTTTTAACATTCAACATGTATATTTTAATTTATAATTTATTAAATTTTAATAAACAATGTATATAAAAACCCATATATACAGTTATACACAGTAAACTTTATTATAAAAAGCGTTAATTAACTTTATTAATACTGTTTCAAGTATGATGAAAATTAACTTTTGAACACTTCATACCCATTAAATGACTTTACTTATTCAACAAACGTTAATTTTATTTGACCAAAGTGTTTAAATTAGTGACAAAGTATCTGCACAAAAATATAACAAAAAATAAGTATAACTTTATAAGTATTCGAACTAACTTGATGAATATTAAATATTTGAATAGTCTCATACCTACAGAATAACTTTATTTAGTCTTCAAGAACGGTTTTCTTTAGGTAAGCTGTTGTAAATGTGTTAAAACAAGCGCGGTACAGTATATTTTTTTTTGCAGAATCTCCTGTAAACCTCAAGTATTTTAAGTAGTTTAAGTAATAAAAACTAATATTATATAACTCTATATCTTTTATACCTGTTCAAGCAATTTTGGTTAAAGAGGTAAAGAAAAAAGGAAAAGAGAAAGTGTGTATGGTTGGTAGTTAAAGCACAAATAAAGAGGAGAACAGGATAAGTATCGTAAACCGTTAAGATTCCCCTTAGTTTTCATATGGTCTATGCGGAAACCACCGTATTTTTCCGAAAATAAGCAACTTTTGCCAGCCAAGATTAATTAACGTCATTACATAATCGACTTCGGAGAAATTTTTATAAGATTTATTTAAAAACATTTTTTTATAAAAAAAAATATATATCGTTTTAAGACATGCCAATCTTCTAGATTTTCTCATCTATAGAAATAATAATTCCTTATTTATTTTTAATATACTTTGCAAGAACTTATTTTTTCTCTTAAATTGTATTCTTTTTTTTTTATGAATTATTCATAGCTAACTATTATTTGGTTCGGATAATTTAATTTTCATGGCCATTAAAATTTTAATTTGTAACTAATATTAGAAATCAATCTTCGGATTATTTCAAAAAATGATTTTAAAATACAAAAGAAAATATTATCTATTGTTCATGTATTTTCTCTAAATAGCAAGCATACGTTGACTATATTCTCATAACTAATGTTTCTTTAAAATTATAATATTAGATACATTAAAATTAAAGGATTAGAAAACTTTTCTCATGCATCTGTTTGATAACTCTCGTGTCGTATCGAACTGGATAAAATGGTAGTTTCATTATACTAATAATAAAACAAGAACATTGATCTCGTTTCACCTTTTTCACTTTGTCATATATTTCAAATTAACAAAATAAAGTTTGTTGAAGGTTGTCATGCTATTTGAAATAATGAAGAAAACGGGAGTTGTTTTAATAAAGTGTTTAAGCTGAAAAGTTTATTTATTATTTAAAATGCATAACTTAATCTTGGCATTTGACCAGGAAATTGATCACGAAAATTATTACGTAATATATATATTAGTAGTCCATTTTCTAGTTTGTTTTATTTTTTTTTATTCTATCCTTTATTTTATGATACATTTTTATTGGAATTTTTATTTTATAATCCAGGCTGTCGCAAAAAATAATCTTGATGAAAATTTGTTATTTAATGAACAATGTATTTAAAACTACTAAACAATGCAAACGATAACCTAGAGGAGATATCAGATAGTGATTACCGTGAAATGACAATATGGAGAAAGAATTAAAATGTGTGAATGGTAAAATTGCAACAAGTATATCTATCCTAATCTCAATTAACAGTTCTTGCAAATATTTTTTAACAAATAGATTTTGATTTGCAAGCATTTAATACATCTTAAAGAGCCAGTTTATGCAAATTATCTTAAAGGTAATTTAATTTAATAAAGGTTCAAAACAACATTTAAAAAATATTGATTTTCTATCATAATTCACCAGTAAATAAACGCGTTTATCCATTTATTTATTAACTTCAATTTGGCCGAAAAAAAAGAAATTTTGGAGAAGGTAGCTTTTTGTCTGTTTAGAGCATGAAAAAAGAGAAATGTCACTACAATGTTAGACAAGCATTCATATTAATGATATAATAATTTCAAACAATAATTTAAAACTCACCAAATCATTTCTCCATTTTTCTTCTCTTATTAAGAAGAGCTCGAGTTGAACCAATGGGTTTTTGACCATATCCCACCATATCAATGCGTAACTTGCTCTTCATCCTCTTGGAACCCTCGGTCCGATTTGGTTTAACTTTCTTCGGACTGTTTACTTTTCGGATCGGTTCCTTGTTCTTGAGCTTTTTTTCGTCTTTCTCGTTGTCTTTACGCGTATTAACTGGTGGGGGCACGTCCGCAAAGTCAAAGCTCATGTTGAGTATAGGAGACTCAACCTCTTCTAAACTGTCATTAATTTCCTTTTCTTTCCTGGCCTTTTCGTACTTATATAATGTATGGTGAAAAATTTCAAGAGAGTTCATTTTTTTGTTAGAAGTGTTTGTGTGTGTGTGTGTGTGTTTGTTGAAAAATGGTTTCAATAATTTGATCAAAAAGATCCCTTTTTAACGAAAAACTTTTTTTTCTGTCATAACAAAACGCGACGCGAGAATAGAATAAGGTTTAGTTAGATCACGGTAAATTCCCAGATATGGGTCTTTGCTTTGAGATTTATCATGTGATATCCCGTTCAATGTCCGCGAAGTTCCGATTGATTTTAATAAATTTTATTTTTGTCACACAATTTAAGGCAAATTCCTATTTGGGTTCCACCCCTTTTAATTTATTTCCCGCATCCAATAATTTTGCATTGATATCATTAAACTGTATAATGATCTGTTTAAAAAATGATAAGTAATAGTTAAAACATAAAAAATAAAAATTTTGTTAAAATAATAATAAATCAAATTGAAATTTTTTTAATTAATTTTAAAATTTAAGATTTTTAAAAATAGTATTAATCAGTTATACTTAATTATAATTTATAATATACTGTATATATATTATTACTATTGATTTCAAATAATTTATGAAAAGTTAAATAATTTTATTATTAAATATTAATAATATATAAATAAATTTATTAATAAATTAGTTACTAATTCATTTTTAAGCAATAATCATTAATATAAAAAATATAAAATAACAGCTATTTATAAAGGGATATAAATAAATAAAAATAGTTAGACAATTATAAAGTAATTATATAAATATAATCAATTATATATTTTTTTTTATTACATTATAGATATATTTTTTTAAAAATAACTTATATATAATTTTTATAATTAATTTAAAATAAAATTTTTAAATAATTAAATAATAAAGTATTAATTTATTCAATAGTGTTTTTTATATTATTTAAAATTTTATTTATCAAATTAAAGTATATTAAATATAATTATTAAAAAATAAATAGAATTGAAAAAAAATTGTAAATTTTTGTATTAATTTAAAGTCAATGTTTTGAATTTTTAATAAAAATATTTTCTATAAAAATAATAAATTTATTATTGTTATTTATTTTTATATTATTAAAATAACTTTATTACAAATAATAAAATTCTTTAAAATATTAAAGCTTTTAAATTAATTTTTTAACTTAAATATAAGAATAATTTGAATAATTTATTATTTACATTTATTATTTATCTTTATATATAAATAATTACTAATATTTAAATAATTAATATAATTTATTTATACAATATTTATATTTAAGATTTAATATTTTAATATTATAATTATATATTAAGATTTTATTTAAAATAATAAATTTTTGATCAGAAATTTAATTATTTTTTATATAAAATTTTATTAAACTATTATTTTTTTTACTTAAAATATATTATAAATTTTATGATAAAATATTAGTATTTAAAAATTTTTATTTAAAATAAAATATTTTTATTTTTATATTTTTAATTTATATAATTTTAAAATTAAGTTATTATAGATATAATTTATTATTAATTTTTATTTATTATATATAATATATTTTTTAATTACTAAATAATTATTATTTGATCTAATATATTTTTTTAAATTTTACTTTTCATATATTTATATTTTATAATTTTTTTTATTTTACTTTAAATTTATTTATTTATATTTATTTTATTTTTTTTAATACTTACTTTATTTTTATTTTTAAATATTATCATTTAATATAAAATATAAATAAAGAAAAAAACTGAATTTTTTATTGATAATGATATATTTTTATATTATAATATTTATTATATATTAAAGTTAGAAATTAAAATCATTATAATTTAGAATTAGATAAGTTAAAAATAAGTTATAATTAAGTTATTTAGTTAAAATAAAAATATATATTAGGATAAATTAACCTATAAAATTAAAAAAGTATTACATTATATAAATATCAATTTTGATAGAATTAAAATTATGTGTTTATAATTTAAACCTAAAAGTTATTTTAATAATTTTATATTATTTTTATTTTATAACTAATTAAAATAATAGTAATAATACAATTTTTATTTAATAAAAATAAATATATATATTATTATATTTAAAAAATAACTTTATATTATAAAAAAAATATAAAAGTAAATAAAAATAAGATTTTTAAATTATTAAAGATCATTTAATTTATAAAATATTGGTAGTATCTACTATTAAACATTTATATATTTTTATTTTTCAATAAAATACTAGTATAAAAATTTGCTAAGTTTATATATAAAAATATTATTTTTACTATGTATTTTATTGTTTTATAAATAGGAAAATTTTAATAATTAATATATTATCTAATAATAATTAATTAAAAAAAACATAATATTAATAATAATAACTAATAATTATATTTAATAAAATTAATAAAAAAAATAATTAATTAATCAGATAATATATATTAATTATATAATTTAAAAAAAATAGTAAAATATTACTATAGTGCAAAACCTCTATATTAAGAACTTAAAAAAATATTAATAAAATTTAATTTACTGTTTGGATTTTAATCAAATAAAAAATTTGATTTATATTTATAAAAATAAATTGATTTATAAAAAAAGTTTTTTTTTAATTTGTAAATGATGTAAACATTGTGTAATTCCTATAAAAAATAAATATCTAAAAAATATTATCAAAAATATTTTGAATCTATCTAAGTATATCAGAGAATATCCAGAAAATAACTATTATTTGTTTTAAAAAATGATCAAGCTTGCTGTTCAGATTTATTCAAATATTTAAAAACATCCAGAATATATACAGAAAGAAATTTAATCTTTTTTTCTAATACAGAATATGTTCAGAATTTATATGATGCAAACAGTTTAAAGCTACTACTTTTGATTATATATTCTTAAAAGAATAGAAATTATCAATTATTAGGCTAATTTAAATAAACTTTCTGTTAAATGATAGATCAGATCATTACTTTTCACATAACAGAGTCTTTTTCTTGCTAAATAGATTGTAATGTCAAATACATAAAATTAAAGTCAAGGTATTTTATTAAATATATTAAAATTGCAATACAAATTTGACCATTATAAAGTTAGCTAGAGTTATAAAAATTACTTAATTTGGATTGAAAATTTTAAATCAAAATCACCTCTTTAATCTTAAAATAGAATAGTCTTAAAATGAAACAATCAGAACAATTATTGTATAATATATGATAACTTCTTTCATTTTCTTTGAGTTTTAAGAGCTAGAAATTGTAATAAAGAAAAGTATTAAAAATCTTTATTCTGTGATCTGTAGCCATAGTAATATAATGAAGTATCTGGATTAAATACTTGATTTTTAGAAACATTTTAAAGTGTAAAAAAGTATTATTCTTTTAAAAAAAATAAATTATTTTCTTTTGAAAAATGAAGACCTAAATCTTTTTTTTTTTTCTTTTTTTATCTTTTAAAATAAAATTCTCAAGTCTAAAAAATGAAATTGAAAATTTTTTCTTTTAAAAAAAAAATATAAGAACTAAATCCTTTAAATGATAAAAATAAGTTTTATTAAAAAAAAAACTTTTATCTAAACCTTTTTTTTTTAAAAAAAAAGAAATTTGAATTTTTCTTTCTTTTAGAAAAAAAACCCAAATCTTTCTTTTCTTTTTTTTACCTTTAAATTTTTTTGAAGTATTAATTAAAAAAATTATATAAGATGCCTCTAAGTCTCATAATATTTAACTGGTAGCTATACGAGAAAGCAAATGGTTAAAATTACAAGTAGCTAAAAAGGATATATTACTATCAGATGATGAATTATCTGATAGTTTAGAGAAAATTAGTACTTGGAATAATGCTGATTTAGAAAAACTATAGATAGAATTACACTAACTACATTTAATATTATATATTAAAATGCAAAGAATTCTGCTATTTTTAATAATATACACCCATTAACTTATTATAGAAATTCTAATAGAACTAAGAAGTGAAAAAAATCAGCTTTAAAATTGGTAAGTAAGGGTTCTTCTAGTATTACTAAGTACTTTACATCTATTACTTTATCAAATGATCAAATTAATACTATAACCGATGATTTAATTAGTCTTAAAGAAATAATAGAAAAAGAAGGTTTTAATTTAGCATTGGAAGAATTAAATATATTAATTAAAAATAAATCATTAATTTCTCAAGTCAAAAATTGATTACAACTTATTCTTCAATATATCAATTTAAGATTAGCTAATTATAAATGTATGAAAACAAGTAAAATGATTGCAGTTAGTATTAGCAAAGGAGAATATCAAGCATGTTTAATTAGAGTATGAACACAAAATTTTATTATGTATTAATCAATTCTAATATTAATGTGTGATAAATATCAAAAAATTAAAAGTTTATTAGGTGATGAAGATATTTATTAAATGATTACTAAATATCTTTGGAATATTAGTTGTGATATAACTGTAGATAAATTTAAGATATATATTGAATAAGAAGTTTTTCTAAATGTTAAAATTGAAAATAAAAAATCAATTTCAAATACTACTGCATGGATATGGTTAAAGCATTTTGGTTAGACATTTCGTATAGAAAGTAAAGATATTTATTATAATGGGCATGAGAGACCTGATGTGCTTAAATATTGACAAAAATTTTTAACAGAAATAATAGAATTAGAACACTAGATGCTAAAATCTTCAGATGATAATATTATGATATTAATAGAACCTAATTTGAATGAGAGTAATAAAAGACATATTTTAATAACTCATAATGAATTAATATTTTATGCTAATAATGGTAAAAAAATCTTTTAAAATCTGCTAGACATCAACCTCTTTATAAAAAAGGATCAGGTTTAAGTTTACATTTTAGTAATTATTTAACAGAAGTTGATGATCGATTAAAATTTGAGTAAGATGAAGCATGTGTTATAATGAAACCAG